TATCATACTACAAACATTTTCCCACATTGCTAGTCTTCATAACTGTATTTTTGAATGCCTTAATTTTATTTTTTAACTTTGATCAATTTTTAATAGAGATAATCATACATATGGAATAAAATTTAAAAGGTGCAGAATAGTGGCATTGAAATGTAAGTCTTACTCCTCCCCTTCTCCCCTGTAAACCCAGATCCCTTCCCTGGAGGCCTACATAATGAAAAGTGTCTTATTTATGTACTTCAGAGTTATTTTATACATATATAAGCACACATGACTATACTCATTCTTTTTTATATAGTAGCATACCCTATGCACAGTCTTGCACTTGGGTGATTGTTTCAGACCAGTTTATAAAAGGCATCCTCATTCTTTTTAGTGACTATGTAGTATTCCATTGAATGATTTACCATGACTTATTTAGTCTCTATTGAGGACATTTAGGTTATTACTAATCTTAGGCTTTTACAAACAAAGCTGTAATGAGAATTTGTGTGTATGTGTATCTGTGTGTGTTTCACACATGGTGAGGACAGAAGCTGCATTTCTAGAAATGGTTTTCTGAGTCAAAGGATATGTGTATTTTAAATTTAGTGGACATTGTCATAATTGCCTTCCATAAAAGTTATACCAATCTATACTCCTGTCAGCAATGTAATGATGTAATGCCTGAATTTTAAATTTCCAGCACCGTAGAATGCTTTTTCTTTCTTTTTAAGGCAAGTTTTGGAGCAGGAGTGAAAGTTAAAAAGCTTTAGAGCAGGAACGAAAGGAAGGAAAGTACACTTGGAAGAGGGCCAAGTGGACGACTTGAAAGACAAGTGTCTTTTTTTTATTTTTAAAGCCTTTTTTTTGTTGTTGAAACAGGGTCTCACTCTGTTACCCAAGCTGGAGTGCAGCAGTATGATAATGGCTCACTGCAGCCTTGACCTTCTGGGTTAAAGTGATCTTTCCACCTCAGCCTCCTGAGTAGCTAGGACTCGCTAGGCATGTGCCACCACGCCTAGCTCATTTTTTTTTTTTTTTCCCCAAAGTAGAGATGAGATCTGGCTATTTTGCCCAGGCTGGTCTTGAACTCCTGGCCTAAAGCAATCCTCTTTCCTCCACCTCCGAAAGCGCTGGGATTACAGGTTTTGTGTTTGGCCTTAAGGCCTTTTATTATAAAATATTTTAAACATACAGTAATGAACCATCATGCAGCTAAAGCCATCCTCAACTCATAACGGCCAGATGTGTTTGTCTAAACTGGTACCCTTTTCCTGTCTCCCCCTGGATTATTGTGAAGCAAATAACAAATATCATACTATTTCATTCATAATTATTTCAGTATGTATTCCCAAAAGATAAATACTCTTGGCTAGGCATGGTGGCTCATGCCTGTAATCCTAGCACTTTGGGAGGCCAAGGTGGGTGGATCGCTTCAGCTCAGGAGTTTGACACCAACCTGGCCAACATGGTGAAACCTCGTCTGTACAAAAAAATACAAAAATTAGCCAGGCATAGTGGTGCACACCTGTAGCTCCAGCTAATTGGGAGGCTGAGGTGGGAGGATCACTTGAACCCATGAGGTCGAGGCTACAGTGAGCCGAGATTGCACCGCTGCACTCCAGCCTGGGCAAAAGAGTCAGACCCTGTCTCAGAAACAGAAAAACCTGACTCTTTTTAAACTCTTTAACCACAACATTATCACCATATGTAGAAAATACTTCTTCCATATCAACAAATATTCAGTTAACGTTCACATTTCTCCAGTTGCTTTTTTCTTTACTTTTAGTTGTTTTATTCAAATCAGGATCCAAACAAGATCTAGACACTGTATTTGGTTCATGTGTCTCACAAATGTCTCTTAAGTCTTTTTTTATCTGTAAGTTCCCCCTCCATCTTTTTGTCTTTGCCCCTCTTGTTATTTGAGGAAACAGATGTTTGTCCTATCAAGTTTTCCACAGTCTGGATTTTGTTCATTGTGTCCTCCTGATATCATTTCACATGTCTCTCTATCTCTTCTATTTCCTGAACATTGAAAGGTAGCTCCTGAGGCCTGGTCTCTTTCAGGTATGATTTTTTTTTTTTTTGCGTGTCTGCTGCTAGATGGTAGTGTGTTCTTACAGCAAGAGGGATGTAATCTCAGGCTTTTTTTCTCTCTTTTTTGTAATGATCATTTCTTAGATGCATTATCTTATTAGATGCTGTTATTCCTCCTTCACTTACCAGATGGAATCTTTTTTTTTAGAGATAGGGTCTCACTTTGTCACCCAGGCTGGAGTGCAGTGACGCAATCACGGCTCACTGTATCACGGCAGCCTTGACTTCCTGGGCTCAGGTGATTCTCCCACTTCAGCCCCCCGAGTGGCTGGGACTATAGGCATGTGCCACTATGCCCAGCTAATTTTTGTATTTTTTATAGAGACAGGGTCTTGCCACGTCAAGGCTGGTCTTAAACTCCTGGGCTCAAACGATCCACCCACTTCGGCCTCCCAAAGTGCTGGGATTACAGGCGTGAGCCACCTCACCCGGCCGGAATAGTTCTACAGAACCAACAGGATGCGCTCAAAAGAACTCATCATGACCGGCAGCAGCAGTGTTGTTATTAGCATTTTATTCAGTTTTTAGTTCTGTTCATATTCAGTAAGTTTGTACTGAATAAAAATTGCTTATATAAAAGATTTGCTTTTATAGTTATATACATTGGAGTTTATATTGAGTTTAAATTTTAACATATTTAGATTAAGTCAACAATGAGTAACCCAATGATTTTTTTTTTTCTTTTCAAAGGGGGGTCTTTGTACGTTATTCTAGTTCAAGAGACACTGGTATCAGGCCATAGTGTTACATTTAAAAACTTTCTCTAAACTGTGAGCTTTTCTACTGTGAGCCAGAGATTGTTTCTTTTTTATTTATTTATTTATTTATTTATTTATTTTTGAGACGGAGTCTCGCTCTGTCGCCCAGGCTGGAGTGCAGTGGCCGGATCTCAGCTCACTGCAAGCTCCGCCTCCCGGGTTCACTCCATTCTCCTGCCTCAGCCTCCCGAGTAGCTGGGACTACAGGCGTCCGCCACATCGCCCGGCTAGTTTTTTGTATTTCTTAGTAGAGACGGGGTTTCACCGTGTTAGCCAGGATGGTCTCCATCTCCTGACCTCGTGATCCACCCGTCTCGGCCTCCCAAAGTGCTGGGATTACAGGCTTGAGCCACCGCGCCCGGCCTGTTTCTTTTTTATTTTTGTTTTTGTCTTACTATCCCAGTACCTGACATACAGAAGGAAGCAGAGATTTAATGGCTTGCCTTATTGTGAGGAATTCCCTGCAGCCTCCACGTTGGTCCTCTTTGTTGATAAACATCAACATCCAGTCTGTTAAAAATTGTGCTTTTCAATAGCAATTTCACTATTTAATATGGTTCCCAATAGTAGTGCTGAAATGCTGTCTGGTATTTCCAAGCACAAGAAAACTATAATGGGCCTTATGGAAAAGATACACGTGTTACATAAGCTTTGTTCAGGCATGACTCATAATGCAGTTGGCTGTGAGTTCAGTGTTAATGAATCAACAATATATTTGAAATAAGATGTTTCTAAATGGAAACACACATAAAACAAGCATATGCATTTTTCAGTTGATGAAAATAGGCCAGGCATGGTGGCTCATGCCTGTAATCCCAGCACTTTGGGAGGCTAAGGCAGGAGGATCATTTGAGGCCAGAATTCGAGACCAGCCTGGCCAACATGGTGAAACCTCGTCTCTACTAAAAATACAAAAATTAGTCGGGTGTGGTGGTGTGCACCTGTAATCCCAAATATCTGGTGGGCTGAGGTGGGAGAATCGCTTGAACCTGGGAGGCAAAGGTTGCAGTGAGCTGAGATGGCACCACTGCACTCCAACCTGGGCAACACAGTGAGACTCCATCTCAAAAAGAAAAAAGAAAACGTTGTGACCAGAGACAAACAGGAACCTAACTCTTTATTTCCTCTAGGAGCCATGGTTCAGTGTTCATGATTTCAACAACTTTATAGAACATAACTACCATAAAGTCAAAATAATACTACATAATGTGGAATTTATAGCAGATATGAATGTAAAGTATATAACCATGAAGATAGTAGGGTGGTATTCAGACATATATCGTTTTAAGGCAGGGCACAGTGGCTCACGCCTGTAATCCCAGCACTTTGGGAGGCCGAGGTGGGTGTATCACTTGAGGTCAGGAGTTTGAGACCAGCCTGGCCAACACTGTCTCTACTAAAAATATAAAAATTAGCCAGGAGTGGTGGCACGCGCCTGTAGTCCCAGCTACTCGGGAGGCTGAGGCAGGAAAATCTCTTGAACCCAGGAGGTAGAGGTTGTAGTGAGCCGAGATCACGCCACTGCACTATAGCCTGGGTGACAGAGCAAAACTCTGTCTCATTAAAAAAAAAAAAAAAAAAAAAAAAGAAGTTATAAGTATACTGTTTTAAGATTCTTTTTTTTTTTTTTTTTTTGAGATGGAGTCTTGCTCTGTCACCCAGGCTGAAGTGCAGTGGTGCGATCTCAGCTCACTGTGACCTCTGCCTCCCTGCTTCAAGTCATTCTTCTGCCTCAGCCTCCCACGTAGCTGGGACTACAGGCACCCACCACCACGCCTGGCTAATTTTTGTATTTTTAGTAGAGATGGGGTATCACCATGTTGGCTAGGCTGGCCTCAAACTCCTGACCGCGTGATCAGCCCTCCTCGGCCTCCCAAAGTGCTGGGATTATAGGTGTGAGCCACCGCGCCCAACCAAGATTCTTATATTCCTAAACACTAGAGTATTTTTGGCAGGCAAGTAATGATAAAAAGAAGATGCATATGCATCTATACAGCAACCACCAAAAATAAGACAAATGGACATAAGCAGAAATTCAATAGTGGTGACAAAAATTAAATTATTAATGATAATTCACATAGGAGATAAAATTGAATAAAAATAATTTTCCAACTAAAGGTAGAGAAATGAAAATCTGAAAACAGAAATAGAAATCAAACACCATGATAGATTAATCCAAACATACTAATTTAATGTAAATGGATTAAATACTCTCATTAAAAGGCAGCATTTGACCTTTTATAAATGCAAGCAATTCTATGTTATTATCAAAAAACATACTTTAACATTAAAAGACATAGACAATTTGTAAATAAAGTGATAAAAAAGAAAAAATATATATCCAGTCTGTTAAGTGGTTGTCCCAGCCCTGCTCACACATCTCTCCAGACACAGAGCACTTACTACCTCCTGAGACAGCCTTCCATTCTTGGATAGTTCTGATTGTTAGAAAGTTACTCCTCAAAGCTAAAATGCCACCAACACTGTCATAATTCTGTCCCCCCTGCACTAAGAGGACTTCCCTGGCCACACGCTACATCCCTTTCTAGTGGTACTGACCACACTCTATTATAGTTCCTTGTTTCTCTGCCTGATCCCATTCAGACTGTGGGCTCCCCAGGCAGGGACTATAGCTGTGTCATCCGTGGCCTTTTCAGCCCCCAGTCCCGGGCCTTCCACAGAGGAGGTGCCCAGAAACAGTCTGTGGAATCAGAGAATGGATTGTCTCAGAAGTGGTCTCTTCTTCAAGTTAAACATTCCTTATTCTTCTTATGTTCTTCATGGCTTCCAGACTCCACACCACTGCCCTCATCTCCATAGGCTCCAATTGGCCAATGTGCCCTTAATCTATGCAGCTTGGAGTTGAAGACAACATGTATGGTATGGTCTGGCCAGGTTCAAGCCTGTGCTGGATCCTGAGGACAAAGATGGATCCAACTTGGTCCATCTTCAAGGAGTTCACCGCCTTGTAGAGAAGACACATCTGTAAACAAACACATGCAGTAAAGTGTTACACACACTGAGAGAAGCTTGCATAGGGAACCGTGGGGACATAAAAGAAGTACTAAGTCTTAACAGGGAGGATGAGGACAGGAAAGGCTGAAAGTGACACTGAATTAGTGGGGACTTTAGGTTGTAGGTAACAGGAAACCCAGCTCAAACTAGCTCAAGTGAAAAGAGAATATTTTAGATCTCATAACTGAGAAGTCTGTGGATAGACTTCAGGCACAGATTGATCCAGAGACTCAAACAATGGCATCAGGACTTGGTTTTTCTTCCTCTATCCCTTAGCTCTGCTGACCTCAGAATTGGCTTCGCTCTGTCCCGTGTGGTACCAAAGATGGCTGTTGGTCACACCACACTTAGATTCTATAGCTTAGCCACCCCTACTTTCGTATACATTCAGCCTAAGGCCCAGGAAGGATTCTGGATAAATCACTGCTCCAAGGAGGGTCATGACCCCCTTGGAACCAACAGATGGGGCTTAGCCCCACCTCAACCATATGGGCTGAGAGCAAGGGAGGGAAGGGTGACTCCCCAAGAGGAAGAGAGAGGTTCCGTTCCCAAAAGAAGGAATTCTGGGAAGGCCAAGACATCAGACGTCCACGATGGCCTCAGAAGATAAGTAAAGAATTTTTGGATAGATAAGAAGACATGGTGTGTTCCAGGCAGAATAAGAAGCATGAGAGTCTCTGAGGTGTGAAGCTGTTCTGGGGAACTCAAGTGCCTGTTTGCTCCAGACTACAGCAGGTGCTTTAGGTGCCCCATGTATATTTGTCTAGCCCTTCCATTTCGGTGCCAATTCAAATGTCTGTTGGAAATAGACATTTCAGGCTGGGTGCAGTGGCACACTCCTGTAATACCAGCACTTTGAGAGGCTGAGGCAGGAGGATCACTTGAGCTCAGGAGTTCAAGACCAGCCTGGGCAACATGGCAAAAACCTGTCTTTACAAAAAATGCAAAAATTAGCCAGGCATGGTGGCATGCACCTGCAGTCCCAGCTACCTGGCAGGCTGAGGCGAAAAGATTGCTTGAGTCCAGGAAGTGAAGGCTGCAATGAGTCAAGATCATCACCACTGCACTCCAGCCTGGAGCTGGGGTGACAGAGTGAGCACCTGTCTCAAAAAAAAAAGAAAGAAAGAAGAAAGAAGAAAGAAGGAGGAAGGAGGAAGGAGGAAAGAGGAAGGAGGAAGGAGGAAGTAGAAGGAAAAGGAGAAGGAGAAGAAGAGACATTTCAGTGTCTATTTCCACCTGCCAGCATCTGCACATTTTGTCTCAGGACTTTTGGAGGGACCAGGGCTATCAACCCATGTGTCAGGCTAGACATGCTGGAGAATTCAAGTCCCTCGAGCAGCCCTCGGCCAATGACTGACTCCCCTAACGCCCTTGCCTCTAATGAGAGGTAACTCTGGATGTATTCTACCCAGGCCTCTAGGGTTCCCTAGCAGTGCTAAGCTTGCTAAAGGTACACCTTATTTAAGGTTCCATTCACTCCTGTGTTACTTTCCCACTCTCCTAATTGTGTTTGCCGGGATCACGTCACACATGAACCACTTGTACTCAAATCCATGTCCCAGGGCCTGCTTCTGGGAGAATCCAAAATAGCCCCAAATACATTCTTCTAAAAATAAAGCTTAAGTCAGTGTCAACACTTTTTTTGCTTTGTTTTGCTGCCACACTGTCCTATTTACTTAGGTGGGATAACAAATATGCATAACATCTGAGGTACAGCCCCTCCTTCCAGGAGCTCCTGGTCTGAGGGGAAGGCAATAATAAGCATTTCATGGTTTCAAAGTGCCTTCTCGGCCACGAATCCATTTGCTCCTTGGAAACCTGCAAGGTTTGCAGGACCAAGATTCTTGTGTAAGTGAGGAACACAGAGGCTCAAAGTGAGGCAGTGACTTGGCCCAGGGTCCCAGAGCCAATGATCCCTGGCTGACCCCTTTCTTGGCTTGTGCCTGTGTCAGCACCATCCAGGTGGTCTCTTACCACTAAGAATAATTAGGGAATCCCTCCTTTCTCTGTGGGTTCAGCCAGAGCTCCAGTAAAGACACCCACATCTGTTGCTTGTTTTCTAAACATTGATAACTTTGGAGGCAGAAGATTAGAAGCACCAAAAAACAAACAGCACTCTGATCCTCCCAGGGGCTGCTTCACCTATTGCTCCCTCAGACTAGGGGCTCTCCCAGTGAGAGCAACATTCTCCATGCAGTCAGGGCCATTCTTCCCAAGAACAGGGACTTACACAAGGGTGATACATATGAAAAAGGGGAGACTCGTGGGATGGGAGCAGTCAGGGGACACAGACAAAGGCATCTAATTTAGGGCAGGGGAGATTTCCAGGAGGAAGTAGCATCTAAGGGTGAGTTAGCCTGCCCCAGGAGGAAGGGTGTTCCAGGCAGAGAGAACAGCGTAAGCAAAGGCCTGAAGATGACAGAGAGCATGTGGGTATTTGAGGAACTGAGATTGTCCCCTCCTCCTTTCTGGGGTGAAAACCCAAGCTCGCATCCTCCACCCGCATTCCTTAGTTCTCCTACTCCTTCCTCCCACCCCTTGCCTGGAACAGGCTGAAAAGGAACAGGGGAGGACCCTACCCATCTGACAGATGCACTGCCTGTGCTGGATCCTTCCACTTGTCCTGCGTGGGCTCACCACCCTTCTCCACCCACAGTAGGCCGCCTGACTCTGGAGCTTCAGTCTGGGTTGAGCCAACAGGAGGCAGTGGTAGAAGACCACAGGATGGGAGGGGAGAGAGAGAAATGTGCTTGTTCCCCTGGCTCTCTTCCTGTGAGAGGTTAGCCTCTACCAAAGGCCACAGCTCCAGTCCTGATGCCCTCCCCACCACTGCCCTCTCTGAGTTCCAGTAATAACCCCTTCCTCCCCTTGCCCTGTCAGCCCAAGTAGTTTCCATCCTCACTGTTGCTTGCCAGACAAACTGCACTATTTCGTCTTGATTTTCTAAACCCTCACCACACTCTAAATGACTCATTTTTCAGGGTGCCATCTGTTTCCTACCTGGACCCTGGTGACGCACAGCCCTAATCCACAGTTAGAGGATGGACAGGGTGTGCTAAGCCCTGCAAAGTGCTGGAAACCTGGGAGGAGTTATTTAGTTATTGGTATTCAGCTCAATTCCACCTCACTTGCCTATCCTTTTTTTTTTTCTTTCTGAGACAGAGCCTCGTTCTGTCACCCAGGCTGGAGTGCAATGGCGTGACCTCAGCTCACTGCTACCTCTGCTTCCTGGGTTTGAGCAATTTTCTTGCCTCAGCCTCCCAAGTAGCTGGGATTACAGGTGCCCGCCACCACGCCTAGCTAATTTTTTGTATTATTAATAGAGACAGGTTTCACCATGTTGGCCAGACTGGTCTTGAACTCCTGACCTCAGGTGATCCACCCACCTCGGCCTCCCAAAGTGCCGGGATTACAGGCATGAGCCACTGTGCCGGGCCCCTTACTTGCCTCTTGCCAGCCCAGCTCATGAGGGTCCAGAGCTGTTCTAAGCACAATATTTGCAGCAAATAACAAATCCACAAGGATGTATTACTGACCCTGTTTTCAGAAGAGGAAACTGAGTTTCAGAAGAAGAAATTGCCCAAATTCATGAAGTCAATTAGAGGCAAGTCCACCGTTTGGACTCCAGTCTAGACTCCAAAGGACCAAATGAGACAGCAAATGTGAAGATGCTTTTGCGACTATGAAGAGCCACCGTACCTGTCTGAGCTAAGAACTGTGGTGTGATGCCTGTCCCTCCCCACAAGGCTGAGTCTTGAAGAAGGTCAGATCTGGTAGGAACCCTAGAGATCAGACAGTGTCACACCATCCTGTGCAGAGAGGAAAACAGGTCCAGAGAGGACAAGTAGTTCCGCCAAAGATGAATATTTGCTGTTGGAATCAGAATGAGAATCCAGAATGCACATCTTCAGACACCTCATAAACACATCAGTGAGAAGGACGTAGCACTCCCCTTAGAGAGGGATTTGGAAGAGAGAGAAGAAGAGGGGATAGAGAAGAGGAAATGAGCTGATTTCTGGGCTGTAGTATTTCAGATTTTGGGAATGCAAGGGATTAAGGACCAAACTGACAAGCCAGGAGGAGATAAGACCCTGGAGGCACAGACACGGGCTCCTCGTGAGTAATGAAATAAAGTAACTTGATGTGACTGTTAAACTTCCTCTGTGAGTCACATTGCATTTCCCCCCGGTGACCCAGGCTTCTGAAACTGTTGACAGGTACCATCCACACTCACTCTACCTTTCAACATTTCCCCCCCACTTCCTAGACCTTGAGTTAGAAACATCAAATAGATCAGAGTCATCTGGTTAGGTGCACTGAAAAATCAAGATGTAACTCAAGGGATACCATGGTGGAAAAGACACAACTCGTCTCTGTTCTCACAGCGCTTCCAGTCCAATGGGAAAGGCAGGCCCCAAACAGATAAACAGAAGATTGGGTTGAGTTCTATGAAGAAAACAAACAGGGAACTGGGTGGATGATGGTGCCATTGACTGAGACATAGAAGATTGAAAGGGAAAGAAGTCAAGAGTTCCGGTCCCCACGTTATCCAAACAGAGACATCAGGGAGGTTGTTGGATATGGGAGTTTGATGCTCAGAGGAAAGTTTTGGCCCACAGGTTGAAAAAGTCTCCTACTGACCTTTGAGGTTCTCTCAGGTTCTATCTCTTCTTGGAAGCTTTCTCTGATAACATAATTCCTAGGGGTCTTCCCTCTCATGACCATTATTCACTCACTCATTCTCCTCTGTGCTAGGCTTGGTGCTGGGAATGGCTTGGTGCCCTCGATGAATTTATGTTCTAGGTGTGGAGTCAACCGATAGAGGAGACAATTGTAACACAGAATGGTAAATGCTGTGTGAGAGGAAAGCCCAAGGGGCTGTAGGAGCAGAGAAAGTGGGCCTCTGTGCCAGTCAGGTCCTGCAGGAAGAAGATGGCTATCTCATATGGATAATTCAAGAAGGCTCTA